CTAAACACAAACCCGCAGATCCGAGGTGCCAGGATCTCGTTGAGACTCTTCGGGCGGCTACCCTCAGCCAGGGCTTGTCGTTTAGGGCAGAGGCGCGAGGGTTTAGAGCTTGAAGGATCCAGGTGTTCCGGGTTCATACCCTAAACCCTAAACCCTAAACCCGAAACCCTAAACCCTAAACCGACTTTAGGTGTTGAGTGTTGAGGTGTTTAGGGAATTCGGGATCGGGCTTTGGAGACATGGGGTTGGGAACTGTTTGGGCTGCAGGGTCTCCTAGGGTGTTGAGATATACGAGAGGCACCCCACCGCGTGAGGGGCCCTAAACCCTAAACCCTAAACCCTAAACCCTAAACCCTAAACCCTAAACCCTAAACGCCAAAGGCCCGTGAGTCTATGTTTATGTTTGAGCAGGATTCCTCACAGGCAGTCTTGCCACCAGGTGGGGTGGCCATCTTCTCCCTAAACCCTAAACCCTAAACCCTAAACCCTAAACCCTAAACCCTAAACCCTAAACCCTAAACCCCTGCATTTGTTGTGGGGGCCGTGCAAAGGTTGAGGGTTTCAGGTTTAGGGCTGAGGTTTAAGGTTTAGGGGTTTAGGGGTTTAGGGGTTTAGAGGTTTAGGGGTTTAGGGGTTTAGGGGTTTAGGGGTTTAGGGGTTTAGGGTTTAGGGGTTTAGCGGGCTGCAGGGTTTAGTGATCTCTAGCTTCCACCCGTTTAGGGCTAAACCTCGAAACCCAAAACCCTAGACCTTGGGGGGGGGAGGGGTAGGTACCTAGGGAACCACAGCAAGCCTAGGGAGCCTTAGGGAGCAGTGAGGAGTATTTAGTGACATTTTTGAACCTTGGGTAACATCCCCCCTTAACCCCCCCCCCCTCCCTTAAGAACCCTATAAAAAACCCTACACCCTAAACCCTAAACCCTAGACCCTAAACCCTAAACCCTAAACCCTAAACCCTAAGCGTCTAGGGGCCGACTCTTCCTGCGCATGTCGATCCACTGCCATGGGCACATGGGAGAAGAAGAGTCTCCTGCAAGCGTCAAAACCCTGGGGTTTAGGGTTTAGGGATTAGGGATTAGGGTTTAGGGTTTCGGGCTTAAGGGTTTGCAGTAAACTGCAACAAGTTGGAACATCCGTGTCCCCAAGCTCCAACAGGTATACTAAAGGGAATCCCAGCTCTAATCATCCAACATGTTCCAACTTTCTGGAGTTTACTGTAAACCCTTAAAACCATGAAAGATGTCTGAGCCCTAGAAGCCCTGAACCCGAAGCCACTCAGGCCCCTCATCATAGGCTTGAGGAAATTTCGAACCTTCACAGCGCAGCAGCCCCCTTTTCGGGCTAGCTGTGGGTATCCGAGGTCTGCAAACGTGGAGTGTCTTCAAAAGTGCAATGAGGATGTCCACGTCCTGTAGCCCACTTAAACCCTAAACCCTACACCCTAAACCCTAAACCCTAAAGCCTGAAGAGTTTCTAAGATATCCCCCTCATCTCCATACATAAACGCCCCCACTATGGCAGCACCCAGCTGCGCTCCCAGCACCCCCCTTACGCACCAGCAAGTTAACCCTTGAACTCAAAAACAACCCAAACCCTCAAACCCGAAATCCTACGCAAGCAACCCTGAACTCTAAAACCCTATATCACCTAAACCCTACTGTAGCATCCTAATCCCTACACCCCTAAAACCCTAAACCCTAAATCCTAAACCCCAAACCCTAAACCCTGAACCCTGAACCCTAAACCCTAAACCCCAAACCCTGAACCCCTAAAACCTTAAAAACCGCTCCAGCGCCTCGCAGGGCGAGGTCTTCTTGGGCTTGACATTTGCGACTTTGGCGACTTTGGCATGGCGTCTAACTAAGGTTTAGGGTTTAGGGTTTAGGGTTTAGGGTTTAGGGTTTAGGGTTTAGGGTTTAGGGTTTAGGGTTTAGGGTTTAGGGTTTAGGGTTTAGGGTTTAGGGTTTAGGGTTTAGGGGAAAAAAGGGTCTAGGGGTTGTAGGGGCCCTGAGAGGGACAGAACTTAGGGTTTAGGGGGTTCAGGGTTTTCGGGGCCCTTAGGGGTTGGGGAATAATTAGGGTTTAGGGTTTAGGGTTTAGGGTTTAGACCCTAAACCCTGAACCTAGACGGTTCGGTTTAGGTTGTCGTGACTCATGCAACCAACCCCCCCAATCCTGAACCCTACACCCTGAAACCTAGCCCCTACAAACCTAAACCCTAGACCCTAAACCCTGAAACCTAAACCCTAAACCCTAAACCCTAAACCCTAAACCCTATTCATATCGGATATTGCTGTCTGAAGGAACTGACATGGGATAACAGGGTCCCTGCTCCAAGCCAGCGACAGATGGAAGGCGGGTCTGGGTCGGGGTGCAGCTTAATGACCCCATGTACCTGGGCTGCGTATCCTAAGCCCGGTTTATGGTGAAACCCGTAAACCCTAAACCCTAAACCCTAAACTTTAGGGTTTAGGGTTTAGGGTTTAGGGTTTAGGGTTTATAGAGTTTAGGGTCCATCGTGCAGGGTTTGGAGCTTAGGTCGCGTAGTGCTGTCCAGGGTTTCAGGAGAAAAACTCGACCACGACTACCGTCAACAAACTCATCACACCCTCCTTTTGAATGGGCCGAAGCTTTGGCCTCTAGAGACACATCTGTAAGACCCAAACTGCCAGACCAACCAAGCCATGGCTGAAGATGTATGGCCGAAACGCCCAACAAGACTAGGCCGGGCAACTGCGTGAAACATACGAGGCTGGAAGATTGCGGATGGATGGCCCTAAACCGTAAACCCTAAACCTGACCTCATCCCGAAAGATACTGTAGGAGAGAAGCAGCTATCATTTTTTGAGGGCTCTTAAGCAACCGGCAGTAACAGTCCAAGAACAAAGTGGGGTTCAACTGGAGGTCTAGGGTTTAAGGCCTAGGGTTAGGGTTTAGGGTTTAGGGTTTAGGGTTTAGGGTTTAGGGTTTAGGGTTTAGGGTTTAGGGTTTAGGGTTTAGGGTTTAGGGTTTAGGGTTTAGGGTTTAGGGTTTAGGGTTTAGGGTTTAGGGTTTAGGGACTTGAGCAAATCAAACTTCCCACGTGTGTTGCCCGCTCTAGCAGGTGTTAATGATGGTGTCATCCCTAGGCAACCCCGAACCCTTAGCCTCGAAACCCCCAAAGCCCTGAACCCCAAAACTCTAGGGGTTTAGGGTTTAGGGTTTAGGGTTTAGGGTTTAGGGTTTAGGGTTTAGGGTTTAGGGTTTAGGGTTTAGGGTTTAGGGTATAGGGTTTAGGTCTGAACCCTAAAGCCCTGAATCCTACCACCCCAGCACCCCAAACCCGATGCACCGCTGCCCACCTCGCACGTTGCCGTGCTACGGAGGGCCATCTGGGCTGCACTCGAATACCCTAAGGGTTTAGGGTTTAGGGTTTAGGGTTTAGGGTTTAGGGTTTAGGGTTTAGGGTTTAGGGTTTAGGGTTTAAGGCAATAGGGTTTAGGGATGTGAGTCTTTACTTAGACGCGGACCACCGAACCTTAAAGGGAAACCCTAAACCCTAAACCCTGAAAAACATAGTATCCAGTTGATGCAGAAGTAGCCTCCAGGATGCCCACACTCAATGTTAAGAAAGACTCACAGCCCTAAACCCTAAACCCTAAACCCTAAACCCTAAACCCTAAACCCTAAACCCTAAACCCTAAACCCTAAACCCTAAACCCTTAGGGTGTTCGAGTGCAGCCCATAGGGGGCGCGGGGTGGCGACTTTGGGTCGACCAGCAGGGATTTAAGGGTTTTAGGGTTTAGGGTTAAGGGTTTAGGGTTATTTCCTCCATCCACCGCTGGACCTTTTGGGACAAAAGAGTACCCAAGTAAGAGCGACCTAAACTCTCTAAACCCCTGGACCCCTAAACTCTACTCAGACTCTACTCTAGAACCCTAAACCCCTTAAAGCCCCTAAACCCTAAAGCCCAAGAACGTTTCCCCTTTCCTTCCCTGGGCAGATGCAGAAGGCAATGATACAGACAGGAGGGTAGGGTTTTGGGTTTTGGGTTTGGGTTTTGGGTTTAGGGTTTAGGGTTTATAAGGGTTTATGGGGTTTATAGAGTTTATGGGGTTTAGGGTTTAGGGCTTAGGGGGGTGGATCCTTGTCAACATCTAGTCTCGGTCAGCTCCAAGAGCGACCAAAGAAGGACAAAAAGAAGCTTGGTAGAGGGGTTTAGGGTTTAGGGTTTAGAGTTTAGGGTTTAGGGTCTAAACGTTCGAATTCAAAAGGAAGCTGACTGCAGCAACTTTGGGGTGTCTAGGTGATGGCTTTATAACCCTTAACCCTTAACGCCAAATCCTAAACCCTAAACCCTAAACCCTAAACCCATCACAAAAGAACAACCGTCCTAGGCACCCAGGCCGAGGAAGAGAAGCTCGCGCGTCGTACGGCGTTCCGGCCTTCAGATTTCGTGCGTCGGGGGGGCTTCCAGGTTCTTACTGCTGGCTAGTTTTAGGGTTTACGGTTTAGGGTGTAGGGTAATGAAGGAATGGGGTACCCTATATGATCCCTTAAAGGGTATATATTCATAGGGGGATATAGGGTACCTCATTCCCTCATTCCCTACTAACCAGCAGTAAGGGTTAGGGTTCGGGGTGTAGAATCGGGACCTTGAGGGATGTTTTTTTTTGTAAAAAAACGATGGTTCTGTGATGTTTTGTATGAAGTGGGTTTCTTTCAAGACCCTTTCTTGAGGCTGATATTTGGTATCTCTTATCTCGGATCCTGCCTGCTTTGGCATCCGGCTTTTCGAGAGTTTTACCTCACACAGGCGCTTTGACAGTGGGATTGCTGTGAGAATTAAAATGGCCCGGAGACAGGATTCTCACTTTCCTGCTTCCAGACTCTGTACAACATTTCGGCGTTCCGGAAAATGCCGAAAACTCAAAACCCACACCTGGCCCTAACCCTAAACCGATGCTTTGGGAGAGACAGGTTCTTCAACCCACCTTTCGAGCAGAGGCTCTCATCCGCCTCAAGCTTGAAGGAAGGCCTCTGTTCCAACTCAATGGCCCACTTTCAGGATCATGGGTTTAGGTTTTATACTTGTCATTGTAGTTAGTTGCTTATAACCCTGATTATAGGGGGCGTGTAACCTTACCTGTTAGGCGCCCTGTACCGGGGGACTTCATTTGTTTCCCGAAGTGCTACCAAGAGGCCTGTCGCCCATCCACCCTTACGGCTGCCCCAACGAGCTCTTGTTGACTAGGGGGCGCGGGGGCATCCGTCAGAGGCGCCGTAAGGGGCAGCCCCTCGACAAAGCCCACCTGCAGTGCTTCCTGCATGGCAGCGCACGGCACACAAAAGCACCTTGGCTACACTCAGAAGGGTAGCTAAAAATTAAAATTCTAGCGGCCATATTAAGAAACCCAATAAACCCAAAAAGGCTAAGGATCTAAGGTTACAGTAAAGTACCACAAAGGCACCATACGCAGGCATCCTCCGTGATCGTGCGACAGTTGCTGTGGTCCAAATGGAACTTCTTGCGCAGGTGCTGACGATGCCATACCTGGACATACTTCCCAGCCAACCTTGGTACCCCAGCAACCATATTATGATCAGGGCACCCTTTTTGGGGTTGGTTGCTTGATACTTGAACCTAGAACCAAAAACAAAAGAGTAAAGGGACCCTAAACCCTAAACCCTAAACCCTAAACCCTAGACCCTAGACCCTAAACCCTAAACCCTAAACCCTAAACCCTAAACCCTAAACCCTAAACCCTAAACCCTAGACCCTAAACCCTAAACCCTAAACCCTAAACCCTAAACCCTAAACCCTAAACCCTACCCCAAAAAAAGGGTAAAGGGTACCACTGGGCTACCAGCCAACATTAGCCACAGGTATGGTCCTGGTGCTTCCAGGTCCAGAAGCACCGTCGTCGCGAAGGCGATGCCAAGGCCGAGCCGGGAGAAGGCCCAAAGAAAGGATAGCCTTAATCCCTTCCCCCGAATATTAATACCCCTCTACGCCCTAATATTAAATACCCCCCCCCCTCCCATATACTATGATATTACCATAATGGGGGGGGGGGGGGGGGAATTTAATATTAGGGGGTAGGGGGGGTTTAATATTAGGGGGAAGGGATTCGTAGCCCAGCAACCATATTAGAAGAAGGGGCACCCTGTTTTTGGTTGGTTACTTTATCAGGGAAGCCAGAAACAAAAAAGAAACGGAAAAGGGTACCACTGGGCTAGCAAGTAGCTGCCAGAATGTCCACTCCCAAAAATTGCTTTTGGGTGAGCTGGCTGTAGCCGACCAGACGGTGAGGGGAAACCAAAATGCCCAGCAGGAGGTCTCGCAGTGGTGACAACATTCACAGAGGCCAAACGCGAAGGTACTTCTTGACTGCCGCCGAAGCTCAGTGGGCAATGGTCTGGCTGTCCGGCAGTTGGAATAGAGCATGCCACCAAAGAGGACCCAGGTACCCCAGGCGCAGCAGCGCTTGAAGAACCAAGCCATGTACGCAGCACGGATCTCGCGGTCGAGGCTTTCTTCTTCCAATGTTTTCACCCCTCCGTCTCCCCATATGCCTGGCAAGGAGGCCAGCCACAGGAGGCCGGCATAGCGCATGAACCTGTCTACCGCCATCTTCTTGTCTTCTTGGGCAGTGCAAGCTCGAACCTCAACGCCTCCTGACAATCCCGGTGAACCCGAGACTCAACACCCTAACCCCTGAAAATGCTTCAAAAACAGCGGCCTCCACTGTGCATGCTATTGTGGAAGTATCCTGGAGGTCCTGCAATGTAGGCCTCTTGGCTAAACCTGATGGTAACCCCTTGTCTGCCCTTTTCGGAACCCTAAACCCTAAACCCTAAACCCTAAACCCTAACTAAACCCTAAACCCTAAACCCTAAACCCTAAACCCTAAACCCTAAACCCTAAACCCTTAAAGTGATCATGAGAGTAACCTTACGAAATCTTCTTCCCTTTGTTACTTTCGAGGCACCGCTCTGAACCGTTCAGACAAGTGCCGGGCTCCCTGCGTGGTGATCTGATATGGGTTCACCCAGTCCAGGACCACTTTGATGTAGCCTGATCTACAGGGTGGGGCCCCCTAGTTATAAGTAGAGTTATAAGGGCCCTAAATTGGGTTATAAGGACCCTAAGTTAGGTTATAAGTCCCTTAACTACAGTTAGTATAGTAAGGGGGCCCCACCCTGTAGGTTTTAGGGTTTAGGGCTCTTGGCTACACTCAGAAGGGTAGCTAAAAATTAAAAATCTTAGCTGCCTTATTAAGAAACCCAATAAACCCAAGAAGGCTAAGGCTAAGGATCTAAGGTTACAGTAAAGTACCACAAAGGGCTGATATGGGTTCAGCCAGTCCAGGAGCGCTTTGATGTCGCCTGATGTAGGGCTTAGGGTTTCAGGTTTGGGGTTCCAGTCCAGGAGCACTTTGATGTAGCCTGATGTAGGGCTTAGGGTTTCCGGTTTGGGGTTTAAGGTGTAGGGTTCAGCGTTTAGATGGCTTCGGGGCTTTGGGTGAGATAGTGCTTGCGGGAACCAGCCGTAGCCCAATAGAAGAGGCAATATGCAGCCCATTCTGGGTCCCAGTCGTGCTGAGGGGTCCGATTTTACCGTTCACGGTGCAGCCTTTCGGGATCAGTAAATGGGGGTTTACGAAAAAAGGGACCCCCCAACATAGCCCCCCCCCCCCAACTAGTAGGATTGTACTAAGGACCGCAATAAGGTACCCAAGATTTCAGAAGCAAGGTAGTCAACGTGTGTTTGGTCTTCCTCGGCCTACAATATACGTAGAAGCCATGTAGGGGGGGACCCCCTAGTTATAAGTAGAGTTATAAGGACCCTAAATTGGGTTCTAAGGAAAAAAGTCCCTTAACTATAGTAAGTATAGTAAGGGTGCCCCTCCTTGTAGAAGCCATGTAGGAGGGGCGTCATGATCATGATACTGCTGATGGTCATCATCGTAGCCATGGTGGCGGAAGTCGCGAACAGTGGGCACCGTGGGTTGGATCTTTTACAGCTTGAAGTGAACGCTCGAACTTTCCCTGTTGGTTTAGGGTTTAGGGTTTAGGGTTTAGGGTTTAGGGGTTTTAGGGTTTTAGGGTTTAGGGTTTAGGGATGTTCGTTTCTGAGTCGGGGAACCAGTACGTTTCAACCAAAAACTGCTGCTCAGAGATGCTGCGAAGTGGAGGAGGTTTAGGGTTTTAGGTTTTAGGGTTTTAGTTTAGGGTTTAGGGTTTAGGGTTTAGGGTACACACGCTCGCCTGTATGAGCTTGTGAAACACAGTCCGTGTATCCCTAAGGTACCCTAAACCCTAAACCCTAAACCCTAAACCCTAAACCCTAAACCCTAAACCCTAAACCCTAAACCCTAAACCCTAAACCCCCTGAAGGGCGCACCCCTGCAGCCCAGTGCCAACGAGCCCGATCCTGGCCTCCGGTAGGGGTGAGGCTTTGAGATTAGGAACTAAGGTTTAGGGTTTAGAGTTTCGAATTCGGGTTTAGGGTTTAGGGTTTAGGGTTTAGGGTTTAGGGTTTAGGGTTTAGGGTTTAGGGTTTAGGGTTTAGGGTTTAGGGTTTAGGGTTTACGGTTTAGGGTTTAGGGTTTAGGGTTTATCTAACGGATGGCTGCGCAGGTTTCTACAGACATCTGGTTTCTAAATCGGAAGAAACCGCTTCAGCTATGAACCGTTTGTGGAGACCCAAAAAACCAGGTACCAAAGGATGGACGCGCACGTTTCAAAATATTCGCGTTTCTAAACTGGAAGAAACCACTTTAGCTATGTATCATGTGTGAAGACCAAAAAAAGAGGGGCTCAAGGATGGACGCGCGTTTCAAAATTTTCGCGTTTCTAAACTGCCAGAAACCATGTGCTATGCATCGTTTGCGACAAACCATAAGAGTTTAGGGTTTAGGGTTTAGGGTTCAGGTGTACCCCCCCCCCCCCCCCCTCATACTCACAGTCCTTCATGGTTTAGGGTTTAGGGCTTGGGGTTTAGGGTTTCGGGTTTCGGGTTGGGATGTGCCTCCCCCCTCCCCCCCGTGTCCTAACAGTCCTTAATATACGGATTCAACCCTAAACCCTAAACCCTAAACCCTAAACCTTAAACCCTAAACCCTAAACCCTAAACCCGTATGATAATACCTCTCGGAAAGCCCCCGAGTCTACTCACATAGTAGAAGGGGTTCCTACCCTAAACCCTCAACCCGACGGGGCATCGGGGTTTAGGGTATGGAGATTGGGTCTCAGGGTTTGTGTTTCTTGTGCCGTGAACACTACAGGTTCATGCGCCCGTAACGTATACGCTTGGGCCCGAAAGCTGTTGTACAACACTTTGTAATAGGTCCGAGCAAGTTCTTACAGGTACTATGTATACCTATGTATATATATATATATACATATCTGTATATCTGTGTATACAAACCCAAGACCCTAAACCCTAAACAACCCTAAACCGACGCTCTTGTTATGGCCCAGTAAGTAAGTCACAGTATGGGTACACGGATATTGTTTCGTGGTTTAGGGTTTTTACTCCCGAGCCTACTTCCGATTCGGAATCTGGTTGTCGTATCGCAGGGTTTAGCATCGCAGGGTTTAGCTGCTGAACCCAAAGCTTCTTAAGCCCAGAAGACCCTTAACCCCTTAACCATAAACCCTATAAACCTGATATGATCCTTTAGGTCTTGCGACCCGCGCCTTGGAGCCCTGCGCACCTAACCCGAAATACAAATCACCCACAACCCTTCACCCCAAACCCTAAACCCCTCAACCCTAAACCCCTACACCCCTGGACCCTAAACCCTAAACGCCTGACCCCCTGCACCCCAAACCCCTGAACCCCTACTGCACCTCAATGGCCCTGAATGGAGCTAAAAACTCAGGCCCCGGCTCCTGCCCGGGTGGGCTCAAGCATGACGCTGCGCCCTCGAAGCCCCTGAGCCCTAAATGGGGTTTAGGGTTTAGGGCTAGGGTTTAGGATTTAGGGTTTAGGGCAAGGGTTTAGGATCTAGG